CCTACCAGAAATTATTAAAAGAATCTGTCAATGTCAATCCATCAATTAATCATTTTGCAAAGCTGTAAAAACCAACTCATCGTACTTGACGTTTCATTTCCCAATGGAAGCAGAAACCAATAAAATGAAACGGAAATGTCCTCTCCATTAAAATCCACCACTGCTTTTCATCGTCTCTGCTAAAAAATTCATCAACTTCTAAAAAGATTCAGACAATTCCCGATTCATAAAACATTTATAATTAACGTTATTCATGTACCTTATTGAGAGGTGGAGCTTGAATTTCGGAGGGAATCGGATAATTCTTGATTTAACCAGTAAATTATGAAAGCACAGTTACCATTTCCTCCCCTTATAATCCAATAATTCAAACCTAGTCGATCCCCATCAAATATTGGCGAGGGTAAATACGAGACGATTCGACAAAACATTTTCAACTTTTTTTGCACCTCTGGAATTGCCGAAAGTTTCGCAGTGACGAATGGCACCGGGGGTAATATATCCCGAAGTTGGACTTGAGATATAAAATTATTCGTCTGGAAAAATATTATCGATATTCTTTGCGGGGTCGAGAGGGGGAGGATGTCGCTGTGAAGAATGGAGTCGAAGGTGATATTCAAATGAGTCAATAACTCGGATTTTTTTTTTCTCATTTTTCAATTAAATTCAATCCTACTTTGGTTTTCTGGCAGTCTGCCGTATCAACAAACGCGGTAATAACGTTTTCACGGTGGCATACTTGCTCCAGAGTTTCCAGATATTAAAAAAATAATCTCCCCGGAGGTATGACGAGTGCTGGGAAAACTGTTGTGTCGATGATTGCGATAGATTCATCGATTTTAGCTGAGTTTCCGGCGAGTTTTATTGTTCTGGGTTGTTCTGGGGTCGCGGATTTTACGAGGGCTCTGGTAATCCCCGGAATGACCTCTTCTGTTCCAATATGAGGGAATGATGCGCTTCATGACAGTCAGTCATTTCCGGTTTTACAATTTCAATAGAAATGCGGTAATTGTGTGCACCAAAAAATTATTTCCCTCACGAAAAATCACGTTATTCTTTTCAATTCAATTGTGAATATTATTTGCTTTGAAATAAATGAGAGGAAAACTCCGAAAATTAATTTCAGGCGCGCAATTCAGACAGGTAGTTCGGTTCGTGGCAATAATAATGAAAACGCATGCTTAATGATAAACAAAAATGAATAATAATAAAAATAATAATAATAATCAAAAAAATTCTGGAATCAAATGAATTTTTCTGACACAAAAAAAATGCTCGCTGTGGGGGAGCGGAAGATTTTTTTTTTTAATTTTTCACTACCCACCGATTTTTCAGCTAACTCCGGCTAGAAAGGTTAATTAGAGCTGTGGGGTTTTTCAACTAGTAGCAAAAATTTTGAAGATACTTTGTTGCATTTACATTTCCCTTTTGGCGGTATTTTTTTTTCTTCTGAAAATGATTATGCATCCGGAGGTCGGGAGTTTTTATTGGAGTATGTGTGTATTATACAGCAACGAGCCTCGGGTATTCGTTAGTTTCCTTTATCCTCTTTCAAAACCCTCCATCCTTCTATCCCGCTGTTTTCCCTCGGCTATTAATAGGAAAAGTTTGCTTTTATCTTTTAAACGCTTCGCAACATTGCTAATTTCACGCATACAAATCCAACCCCTCGCTTCGTGATGTAAAGAATGTTTTCAGATTGTTTAATCTAGGGAGAGGAGGGTGTTAATGAATTCTCTGAATATCTCGATTAATATGAGATCTCAGAAATATCGGATTATTCTGAGATTCGAGACTCTCACTTATTTAAAAACTATAATTAACGGAAGCTACTTTTTTCTGAATCTAGAAGATTATTTTTTGACGTTGAGAATTTTATTCTCTTCAGAATTCAAAATTTCATTAAAGGTATCACGTAATTTTTAATTTGATCTCGTTATTAAAACAAGATAATGTGTCTGGGGATATTTTTTTCCTGTCAAATAGGAGAAGAAATTATTAAGAAAGGGCAATTATTTCTAATTGTAATTTATAAAAAATATGCTCCCATTTTTCTCTTTTGAAAATCGATTTTAATATCATTCTCGGAAATGACTAATTAACTGTCCCTGGAATTTGAATTTTATTGTCGGGCTTGCATGCCCCACGAATTTACAACAATCAATCTCATTAACTTCGTTTTAAAATATTTCACAGCGCATATTTTAAATCCATCCCCAATTAAATCTTTTTTTCAACATCGAACGCTGCCGAGCGTTAAATCACACTAATGAAGTTTGAAAAGCGCGCGCAAACTTCCTCCCCGTGATTATAAACGATTCCCGTTTCCACGTTTTCAGGATTTTCACATGCAAATAAATACTCAATCCCCGAATGGAAAACGATTAATTGAGATCCGGGTCTTTAATCACTCCGTGAATGTTTCAAAAATAGTCCGACAATTTTGTACACTGAAACTGTACAGTAAATTTATTTAAAATCAGCTTAAGAATTTCAGAACAGTCAGAATAAATTACTTTTGCATTATTTTGACTCAGCTGTATGTATTATTTATTTTTTGACAAACATTCAGGAATTACTACTGAGCCAAACGATTTCTGGCCGGGATGAATTTTATTAGGAATTTATCTCCGTGTGCCTCGATGTTCGAGGGATAAACCGCGGTTCAGTTGTGAAGTATTGTTCAATTATTTTAATTACAGAGGTTAGCCCCGTTGACGGAAGCGCATCCGAGTGATTAATCTCATCTCGAGTTTCGATGGGATCTCGGGTATTCCTTACCTCCAATAAGTCTTTTCCCGACGGGTGAATAATTTCAAGACTAGATATTGGATTATAATTTCGGTGGGAAATCGAGTAACGAATTTGACTGTCGGAGATTTTTGTATGAAATGTCACACGACCGGCAAAATTGTCAGATATTTACCGATAGGTTCGTCGCAAAACATACGTTTTCAATGTCATATCTACCTCTTCCATTTTTATTGCAAAAATCAAGTGCCAAACATTGTAAAAAGTAAAAATTATTACTTTTTCGATTATCGATATTTGACTGACATTTATGAATACAAAAGTTGTTATTCGGCTGTTTAAACCCAATTAAATGTGATTTTTCGAAAAATTATTAATCAATTGTTGATGAAACTCACAGAATAATTGAAATTTTCAAAAGCCGATAAACAGATTCTCATTCGCTGGATTATTTGCCACTGTAGTTGTCAATATTCCCTGCAATTCATATGGAAAATGCATTACTGATTAAACTTTAATTAAATTTTATCCCCGTTCGCCACGGGTGAAGATTATTACGCCCAAAACTGTTGGAATTGTAGAGTCTATCAATAAATTAAGAGATTTGTTGGATTCTGTGGGTTAACAAATGTATATGATTGCGCGCTATAATGTAGTGGCTGCATCAGAGGAAACCGGAATAATTAAAGACTATCGAATATTCTCTAACTTGATTGCAAATAAATTCCACGAAAATTCGTCACAGTGTATGAATTTTCTCTAGGTCTTTTCATTCTCTCTCCAATATTTTCCTTAAAAAATGAGGTGATCATCTAAAAGCATTCAAATATTTAAAATTAATCATTCGAATTTTGCATTAATTTTCGAATCAAATCGGTGAAGTCACTAGGGAGATTGTGAGTTAAATATTGGATAATATGATTAGAAATTCGGCTCTCATGACCCCACGACCCCAATTATTTTAAAATAAATTTCATTTAAAACAAGAAAAGAAACTTCATTTTTCCCCAACAATCTCGTCAAGTCGTAAAGAAAATATTGAAAAATTGAAATTTCGGCAAACTTTTCGCAGAAAATACTTTTTTTGCAAACGAACAGAATAAAAATAGAAACGGAAGAGAGGAATTACCGAAAACCGGAGAAAGAGGAATATATCTCCGATGGCTCCACAAACTCAATTTGACGTGGACTTTATCCCAAAAAAGAATTCCAATCGGTTAAATTCAATTAAGAATAGCGATAACGTTCGTGAAACCGATATTTTATGGGAAAATTAGTGGAACATTCGACCTTACGAAAATATAAAATCCAAATTCTAAGGATCCCGTTCTGAATGGATATAATTGAATTGAGAAATTAATGTGACACTTTTCCGACGTGGTACCTCCAAAACCGTGAGAATCATGGAGAGTAATTGTGAACCGGGTTACTCTAAATGCATTCCCTTTTAATGTTCTCGCATTTATAATCCACTGGACTATTCCCTCGCACAATGCAACCCCCATTGGATTTATTGACCAGTGCCCAAGACGAGGTCGTAAATCATTTATTACCCCCACAAGGGCGATTACCTGAAATAATTAGTTGGCCAGTAAATTGGCGAGTAGGAAGGTGGCATGACGCTGCTGTGTAACTATTTTAATAACACATCCCAATGGCCAGGGTAACTAGTCAGGGCTAGGTTACTTGCTACTGGAAATGAGAAGGAACTGTCGAGTGGTTGAGAACAAGAAGGAAAGTTTGTGATCCTCGACTGTTAGCTTGCCTGTTATCAGGGAAGACAGAAATTTCAAGAGAGCTTGCCATTTATTGTATGGCTGTTGTGAATTTGTTAACTCGACAAGAGGATTACTGCTGATTAGTTGAACAATTACTTCCTGAAGATATGAAAAACTTCCGGACTAATTTTTATTTAATAAAAAATACGCGGACCGAGCGATTCATTAGCTCATAATTAAAACTCGAGGGGAAGAAATGTGTATTCATAACTGGATATTGAAGATTAAGGATTCTGACAATGACATTATTATTTTTAATTATCAGAGGAAGGAAGGAAAGTATTGAGGAAAATGTATCCCAGTGATTCATGTCATTCATTATAATCATAATTCGAGAGGAAATTAACTCGACCACGACTTCAAATTAGGAAAAAACGTGATGCCGGAATTGTTATTATTATTGTTCTTTTCCGTGATTTGTTTTCCCCGTGCAGAGGATAAAATCCTCGTCATTTGTAGAACAGAGTCGATCATGACCTCAGTCGAATGATTGTTCTCCGAGTCCAAGTTATATTGAAAACATAAAATAGGCGTAAGAGTTCAATGGCTTTTTCCAAGAGGTGAGTAATAAATAATGAAGAATATAATAATATAGTTAATCATAAATAATTGCGAAAATCAAGTTTTAGATTTGACTAATGAATTTCCTCATTTCCACAATATGAGAACCGACAACTGATTGAAGTAATTGAAACATTAAAAAAACATCATGGCATCGTCAAGTCTTTTCATTCTCTGCTTTTTGACTGTGGCATCGACTTGTCATTCATCTGAGAGGTCAGGACTTAAGACAACCACTACAACAGTGAACATTGCCTCAGAAGCCGAAGCAGAGCATCTCTGGTATAAATGGACATTGAAAAATATCATGCTGCTTGCAACACGTGACGGCTGTATCGACTCACCATTATTCCGGACAAAAAACGAGAGCATCAAATTCAAACTGCGATTCTGCTTCTTGCGGAAGGGATCGCTGCAAATTGTTCCATACGTCGAGGTACCTGAACACAGCACCTTTGAAATAGACAGTGAACTAAAAATATTTAACGGCAGTAACTGGAATGTCATTGCTAACAGAACGACTCAGAAGATGCGTGTGGATCGACATTCGCCGACATTTCAATACTCACAGCTGCTGAGGGGTTTAAATGAAGAACTCAATTTCGACTCGACCATCATCATCATTTGCAGCATTGACATGCCACTGAGAGTGGTTTCTAGAGTAATCGCTGAGACAAGCATTGAAGGATCGAAAGTCGAAGGAAATCCCTGCAATGCGGAAAAAAGTCAACTCAGTCAAGACTTCGGTCGACTTCTGCATAACAAGAATTTCACTGATGTCGTGATTGCCGCAGGAAGTCACAGATTTCCGGCACATAAAGGAGTACTGGCGATTCGGAGTCCAGTACTCGCCGGTTTGATAGAAAATGCCAGTTCTCCAGATGGAATTAGCTTGCCGATGTTGAGGAGCCAGCATTTGGAGTACCTGGAGCCGGTGGTGGTGGAGGCCATGCTGGAGTATATCTACACCGATAAAATTTGCAATCTGACTGATCTTTCCGTAACGTACGGACTGTTAGGAGTTGCTGACGGGTTCAAGATGCCTGGTTTGAAACCCATCTGTGAAAATTATCTGCGTGAGAAACTTAATGTTGATAACGCTGTAGGTACTTTGGTGCGGGCTGACCAATATGGACTGGACAGACTGAAAAAATATATTGTCGGATTCATCACGGATCATTTCAAAGATATCATTAAGACGAGTGGTTATAAAAAATTGGAACAAGAGGCTCCTGGTCTTCTAGACAAAATACTATCACCGTACGATGATTTTCGCCATTGAAAATTGAAATTTTTGATGAAAAAATTATTTATAATCTTATATTTTTTCCAGTTTCAGGACAAAAATGTAATGACCATTGTATTCGTCCCAATGTAATGGGGAAATCATTATGAAAAATATAGTTGAGTGATTAATTGCTGGATGGAACTCATTAATTAATTACCCGTTTTTATTTACATACGTTTTATATTTTTGATTTTTGTGGCAACTCGATAAAAGTACTCGATTTTCACGAAAAAGTAAAAATTCTAGATCAATCTCTCAGTTTAGGTTGAGAGTTTAATTTTCCAATTTTTCCATTTTCTCCATATTCGACGGGTGTTTTATTATGTACAAGGCAGATAAATATGTATAAAAATTAACTTATCGCTATCACGCTTAGATAGCGTAGTGTGCTGCATACACCAGAATAACAACCTATCAGAAAATGCCATGGTATTAACTTCTCAATTATATTGAAACAACGTAGAAGACCTCATAAATCAGTGATTACTGAACTATAGAAAAGAAGAGAGGGAGTTGATGAGATAAAACGATCAGAACGGAGTGTCTCCGCAGTAGTAAGCCAACATTGCCCAGTCAGAGTCTTCGAGTGGTCCAGATCGGAGGTCAGAAGTCCTATCAATTATCGATTGATTATACTTGAAGAGATCAACATCAAATTAATTATTATTACTTTTAGGAAACGAGCGTCATAGGTCGATTCAATCATGTCTCCAGCAACTTTGTTTGTTTGGTTCTTGGCTGCGGTATCAATCAGCCATTCGGGAGGACGAGCAGAGCTGTTCACTATCTCAAGCTCACAGTACGCTGTATCTGACCTTCAAGCGGAGCATCTCTCATACGAATGGACAATACAAAATTTGACACTGATGTCGAAGAATAAACAATGTTTCCAATCACCACACTTTCGCACGGCAAATAAGTATCTAACATGGGGATTGGAATTGTGTTCTGACTACATAGATTCTAACCGGTATAATGGCTACGACAACCGCTATAACGGATTCATCAAGTTATATACTTTTCCTTCAAAAGACTCTGAAGATCTCATAATAAGCGGTAGTTTGAAACTATTAAATTCAGAAAATATAATAATTAACGAAGTTTTTAAGAGTCAATCCGTTGGCCCAGAAAAACCCATCAAATATCCATATTCTCTGTCAAAATCAGAGGTGCGGGTTTCATCTGACTTTAATTCTACCGTAACCGTACATTGTGAAATAGACATGCCATTGAAAGCAATATCAAAAGTAATCGATGGCGGAAAATCACAAAATCAAAAAACGCAGAGAAGTGAATTGTCTCGTGATTATAGTGTACTCTTGAATCAGGGTAATTTCAGCGACATGACAATTATCGTTGAAGGTGAAAGATTATCGGCGCATAAAGCAATACTGAGTGCCCGCAGTCCGGTTTTCGCAACTCTATTCGACAATAGTAAAAACGAGACGACTCAAGTTAAAATTGACAATACGGAGGTGGCCGTGGTGCGAGCAATGTTGGAATACATCTATACTGGTGATGTGGAAAATCTAAAGGAATTTCTATTGATACATGAATTATTGGCTACCGCTGATAAGTTCAAACTATTCGGCTTGAAGAGCATCTGTGGGGATATTCTTTCCAAAAATTTGAATGCGGAAAATGTGGCAGATGTCATGGTGCTCAGTGACGTCCACGGAATAGATCAACTGAAAAAGCTAACCATTGAATTCATAAAAAAACATTTCGAGGACGTGATGGTGACCGAGGGGTATAAAAAATTGAAAGAGAAATCTCCGGCACTGTTGATGGAGATTCTCTTTTCCTCTGATAAGCGTTTTTAAGTTATATTGCTAATATAATATCAATTGTTTCATTTTTTCATAATATTGGATTCATCTTCTCAGAGCTGATGATTATTTTAATTACTTGGTTACATATTCAAGCAGATTAAATGCGGCGCGGAGATAAAATGGGAAAATAGACTTCTCTTATCTAGACAGGGGTCAGGAGTGATGATGAGATATCATGAAAGACATCATAGAAATGGAAATAAACTGATGTTTATGGCATTATCAATAGGTTGTGAGTCATGAGTCTTAATGTTTTATATTTTTTTAATGAATTCTGTGGTTCTGTCGCTGAAGCTTCGATTTTCTTAGGTCTTCAGATTTACTCAGAAATTTGTACCTCTTGAAAATTTTAAAGCAATAAAATATGAGTTCTCAAATATTTCTCAACTCTATGTTTTTATCGAGGAAAAATCCTCGTACCCTTTTATGTTATGAATTTTTGGAGAGATATCGAGGTGATAATGCGATGGTAATTTCCATGCAGAATCGTATTTTAGAAGGAAGCAATTAAATTTCCCTGAATTGTCTTCACATCGTAAAGATTGATGCTCCACGAGGTATTCCAAACAACTCGTGAGTTGATAAAAAAAAGCCGAACAATTTGTAAAATGGAAAAATTCAGAAAAAAAACTATAAAAAAATGTTTGATCTCTAACGATTTCTCGACACTTGAAGATTATGGATCGTTTACTTGCGAATGTTCATGTGTAAATGAACTATTCTTCTTTGATTTACATATTTTCTTCATTCAGTCCAAAAACTGACCTGAAATTATTCAAATGCCCCTCGCAGTTGTAATCACTGCGCTATAAAATTTCATGTTAGAAAATAAGTTTCCAAATTCGAGAAGACCATTATTGTCTCGCATCTAGAAACTTCTCTTCCACATTTCTTGTCTTCTCTCTACATGAAAATGTAGAAGTTTTCATGAATCCAGAAACTTTCGTTAACACCAAGGTATTTTTTTTTCTCTGTGGGTTATTGAAGACATTATCTCTAAAAAACCAGATAAAATATCAGAGTTCGAAATTTTTCTGAAGACATGCGACATCCATTTCGCGTCCTTTTCGCGATAACTCAACCGACGGGAAGTTAAAGCGATTGCAGCTTTACGAGGTACGATCATCAGGATATATATTCCGAGCACAATATGCAACCATTCTATTGAATCCACAAGCTACGAGTCGTTTAACCAGTCTAAATCAAGTGAGAGGGTAAGTACTTATTACATAAAAATTCGAAATTCCTGATTATATAGCCTAATTATATGATATAATAGCCGCAAATATTTTTCGCTAGATCCTTTCCAATGCGTCAACCACTTTTATTGCACACCGTGTCACCCATTTTGATTTCAGAACATCGGAAGTTACTGCACCATCCTTCAAATATGCCATCATCCTTGGCCTTTCTGCTCTTTCTGATTGCAGTATTATCAAACCATCAGTTAATTTCATCAATAACAACTCCTATGCTCACTGACGTAAACAGTAACGTGGCAATACTCGAGAAACATAACCGAATTCCTATCGGAGATCGCACCGAACGGGTCAATACCAGATTTGTCAAATATTGCGTCCTAGAGGCCGATGACGATGACGATGACGATGACGATGACGATATTGGCAGCCAGCTTGCGATAACGAAAATTGGCAGACCGCACCTCTCGATCGAATGGGTCATAAACAATTACACCCTTCTTGATAACCAGGGTGGAATTTGTCTCAAGTCACCGCCATTCGAATCAGGGCATGAGGACACAGAGTGGAATGTGAAATTGTGCTTGAGTGATGAAGCCGATGCTCGGATCCACGTTGCACTGATTCATCACACTGATGCCTCAGGAAACTCCCGTTTGAAAAAAGAAATAGACGGTGCACTCGGAATCTTCAAATCAGATCAGAAATTAACCGTGAAGAAATTCGACAAGCTACGTGAGATCATCGATGTGCATAATCATATCTATGAGTATGCGGACGAATCAGTAGATCTGCTCACTGGTGCCACTCCTGATGACTCTGTTAAAATAGCATTGGAGATTGATATGCCGCTGAGAATCGTTACGAACCTGTCCTATCATGATTAATGCTTAATGATCTCTGGGCTGTATGATTGTGTTTACGAATTATTTTCTCTGTGATTCGGGAGAGTGAAGACTCAATGAATATAACGCGAGGGATTTATTGTACGATTGGAAAGGTTGTGTCACTGGAAAACTGTTGTGGAAAATAAATCGTAGTTGATTGCTTTCAATTTATGTGCGTTTAGTTATTGATGTGAGTTGAAAGGAGAGGTTTTTGGTAATCTGGGCAATGATGAGGAAGACAGAAATTTTATCAGGATAATACAATATATGTTTGACAAATAAATGTCAATCATGTAATGTCAACAAATATAAATTCAATTTTAACGACGCACAATAACTAGTCAATAACTAGTGGAAGAAATTTTTTACGAAGAAAATTTCAATATGCGGATTTTATTCCAGTTACTAAATTTATATGACAAAAGTACTTTTTCTTCTAATTGTACTTCTGATGTGATTTGAGCCATACTCTTTCATTGTCAGATTCCCACACAGGAGAACGGAGTTCCGCAACAAATTTACTGGAGTGAACATTAATATTTGTGATCAGATCGCAGTGCCCCAGTCCGGTATTTTTTATGGCGACAGTCGTATGAGTTTTTGATGGAAATTCCTCGCCGTGCAATCATTCTAAGGGTGCGATAAAAAAAACCGCTATATATATTCTTTGTTTCGTTCGTAATGACTCAATAACCGCGGAATGGACGCGGAGGTGTTTACGAATTTACGAGTTACGAACATGAGGATATACATAGCGAGCACACGGTGCAGTGATTTTATTGTGCCGAGGTACTAGTGGCTGAGCTCTGTCACCAAAAATGTGAGTAATCTCCCTTCAATAATTCTTCCCCAAATCATCTGCAAGGACTTCTTATCGAGCGATTAATTATTAATTCCCTCCTAATTCATCGATTGGGTTAATCATATTTAATACGCGGCGGAATCACTAAATTTTCAACTGAAATTTTTTGTGGATTGTGATTTAAAATCATCAATAGGCGAAAAGTAAAATAGGAATCATTACAGAGTGTCAATACTCTATTGTATAATTAAAAAAAAGATCTCGAAAATCAATCCTGTTGTTTGACCTTAACAATTTGGCAATGTCTCGATTATTTTTGTGGGGAACAAAAAATGATAAAAAATTTTCTTTGTGATTTTCCTCCCTCTTATTTGTATTCGTGTTGAAGCCGTTAGAAATCTCGCGTTAATAAACCCCTTTACATGAACATTTGAAATACACAACAAAATGGATGACGTGTAATGCTCATTCCCCGAAGTATGCAAATTCCTCGGCACAATGAACTAAGAACCGAGGTGACTCGCGTGTTCACATATCAGGGAGCATTAACCCGTATTAACATACGTAAGGTGGCTTGTTCAACACATTATAAAGTAAAATGTCCACCCTCTGGTTATACCTCCACATCACGGCGACCTAAGCCGCAGGAAAAAAATCCACCATACATTTCTAATCGCATGAAAAAAGGAAATTAATTCCAGTGACTGCCGATCTTTTCTCTTAGAATAATGAAGCTCTCATTTGAGTCATGAGAAAACCCTTCTATTGAAAATTGAATATTTTCACAGTGACGGTAAACTTAATAGATCAATTACTGAACTTCAGATTTTCATGTCCTTGGCTTTATGATGGTAATAATTAAAATGTAAGGTAATTATAGTAATTGCTATTTCAAATGTAAAGAATTATTCCTTCACCTTTTACTTATTTTATGGTATAAATTATACGAAAATTATTAAAACCTCAGATCAATGCGCAAATTAAAGAATTGAGGAATTGAAATATGATCTCAGATCGTGAGATCATCAGGCTGTCTGGACAATTGAGGTACCGAGACTTAATTGATTTCATCCTGAAGTCAGGAAAAATCTCGAGACACGCGAGCAATTTGAAGCGACATAAATGCCGAAATATTCCCGGCAAAAGTGTTGGCACATGGGTGACACGAGTTAAATTCCCGGTGAATAAAAAAATTCAGAGTGGAAAAAAAAAAGAAGCCGGAAGATTAAGCTTTTGTCTAGGCATTCCTTTGTCCAAGTTGAGCACTCTGTCTCGACACCCTGTTTTTGTCCGTATCCCTCCACTCCCTTTTTCTCTTGAACTGGGCAGTTCCCCCATACCGCGACACCGACGCACCGGGACTCCCGGTGGAAAGTTAAATCCCGGTTTTCCCTCCATAAAATCCCTCACCCACTAGGTTGTACCATTCACCCCACCATTTTCCATTCTCTCTTGCTGTCACGGTCCCTTTGACCACCTCGAATATATTCTAACTGACCAGACACTAGCTTTGCGGTGCACTACCAACGCCCAACGGCAATACAAGACCTCGGAAAAACGCTTGAAATACACCTGCAAATGAGGCTTTCATGATACAGTGCTTGAAAAATAAGAGAAATGAAAAGAGATTTGGCTTGCACACTCCACTGGAGAAATTGATTTTATTTTGTAAAATTTTCCTCGACGGTAAAAAGTTTTCTTCATTCAACGCGGAGTGCCAAATTGATATGAATAGTTATGAATTGAGTCGAAAATTTACTCAATTCAAGTCCCTAAAAATAAATTCTCCCCTCCCACCAACGGACTAACCCGTGTAATTTTTTTGCTGCTCTTTTATTTTTAATGTGTCACCAAAAAAAAGTCGTGTAAATATTTTATTAAAAAAAACCGAGCTGTCCATCACAAAAATTATACGTCAGCACATAAATTTGGGGTGATAATCTACCATCCGATGTGAAATCCAGCGACACAGACAGTCGGCTATAATTCCTCATCCCCAACTCCCCGAAGATCTCGAGGATTTAAAAAGAAAATATGGTATTTTTTTTTCTCCATGACCAGAAACAGTGACCCCCCCCTTTTTTTTTCTACCCACCGAGTTTCATCCCCCCCATTCTCATCCATTACTCAACCTCCTCCATTTTTACTTTTGTTTCAGTGAGAAATCTCACCGGGTCTGAAACACAATTTTCCGTTAAGTAAGTTACACTCGTAATGGAGTGAGTGAAACAAGGGGTATGTCTGGTCTGACCTCAGTTTCACGGTATTTCTCCACTACTTAAATCCTGATACATTCCACTTAGGGGGGCTGACCCAAACCCGGGTGCTACCACTTTTGCCTCTTCACTGGTAATGGCGACACCGTTGTGAAACGGAAATTTTAGTTCTCAACTGTCGAGTACTTCGGCTTTTATTATTCGACAGATTCCGACTTTACCTCAATTCCTTTATTTTCCACAAAACAACAACAAAAATTGCTCTGAAAAAAGTCCTATTCAATTCCATTATTTAATGCACTAATTTTATCATTTGAAATAAAACAATATGATAATAATAAGCAAGTAATGATCACAATTATTACTAATACCATTTCAAAATAATTATGAATAGGAATTTGAGGAAGTTGCTATCGATTAAATCATCCAAGTTGAATAGCGTGGGTCGATTTTCCTCTTCAACCCTTCAAATCACGAAATCAACCCCCAAATCCTCACGATCCCCAAACTACTACGACCGGTTGAACTCCCCGATTAAACAATCTCACTGCGCGAAAAAAAACGTAAGCCCCCAGCTGCAAACTTTCCCAAAACGATAAAAAGCAATTTTTTAATTCCTGTCGTTTAAAATCTCCAGGTGTTTCTTTCGTCACCCCGACGCCTCGAAATCCCCGTTAATCCCAAGGGGATCAACGGATTTTTACAGCTTCATTGTGACAGGAATTACACTTAATGCCTCTGAAAAAAAAAAATAGAAACAAATTCCGCGAAAAGAGAGAGTGAGAGAGAGAGAGAGTAGAGAGAGAAGAGAGAGAAAAATGCAAACAAACGACAGAACCAAAAACAAATATAAATCCTTTTCAAATAAATGACGAAAGCGTAGCCCATAAACAAAGAGCAAAAAGCATTCCGTCAGTTGTTGCTGGGGCGGCTAGTGGCAAGGAATTTCACTGGGCAAACAGAAAGACCGTAAAAAACGTTAAAAATGAGAAAGAGTTGCGATGAATACTGCCCCGAGAACCAAACAGTCTTCATAAATTCTAGTGCGTAAATCAGTCTTTATGGACTTGTGGGTTTTCTGCTCTCTCCATCTCATTCTCCCACTCCTTCTGGTCCTCTCATTTACTCCGTGTATAGACGAGTGCTGTTTGGCTTGCGTTATGTGTAACATGTGTAACATGTGTAACGCTGTACTTCATGGAAATGGACATCAGTCCTCTAAACAACCACACTGTACAGTCAATGTTGAGATTCACTGCTGATGAATCCTCTTTCCCTCAAATGTGCGCAGCATTATCGAAAGTGCTCACCACCCACACGAATTTCATTCCACCCTCGATTCATTTTCTTTAATAAACAGCTGCACTCAGGATAATTAATTAACTGTTTCCATCAACGACTCGTTACCTTACATTGTCACGGCTTTACAGGCATCACAGATTTCGATTTCAATTTACAGTGTCCAAATAAGCTGTCCAATCCCTGAAGGATTTCTTGTATTTATCACAATGACGATGACAACGATAACAATAAACTGTCAATATTGAACACAAAGTTTGTGCACTAATCACTCATCTTTATACAGATGGCATGGTCAAGTGTGGCGGTCAATGTTTCGTTGGGATGAGTGTCAAAATGTCAATACAGAATCCAAATTTTAAACACAAATACTGAACAAATTGTAAACAAACGAGACAATTCAGATCGATAATCATGGTACGCTGGAAATGGTCACTCGCAAACCGCAGGCCTCGATCGTTATCACCGTGATAACCGAATTGTCCGAATCGTGTTTCCCATCCCTTTCCTCTTTTGCCATTGTCACAGACAACTTCCCTCACAACTTGCCAACGGCAACATGCTTGATTGAGACTCCACACGTTCGTTTCAATGTCGATTCACGTTGCCATTCATCCTGTTGTTGCTGCATCCCGATCGTTTATGCGCCGACAATGAAGGGATTCACGAGTGACAGGAGTTTCGATTGTCACGATGAATCATGTGACAAAGCTACTTGCGACACGGAATGATAATTGATGAGGTGTTTGAGCAAGTTATCCCTCGGTCCCGAAGGATTAGGACGAAAGATGACAGCTCTTAATTAAACCGTCGTCACGACCTTGTCAACCCTGATATTTCATATCCGCAG